AACTATAACTAACTAAATTAAAGAAATAAACTAACTATTACTAACTAAAATTTAATGGCTCAATGTTCAAACTAAAGTACCATTATCACTGCATGGTTCCAACTCCTAAATAGTATGCCATTTTAGGTAACTTAGCCCTGTTTACACTACAAACCAGTTTACATTAAGGCCTTGTTTATATTACTACATGATGTACATTCAGGTGTTTGCACTAAGGTTACGTTTACACAGCAACAACAACTAGTATGCAATCGGTTTTGTTGCTGTGTAAACGTAGCCTTAGTGTAACCACTTGAAAGCAGTAATAGCAAAACAGAAAAGAATAAAAACGTGATAGAATATTGATAGAACTTTATAGAAGCAAAAATAAAAATAGTGTTCAAAGTGTATAGCTTTTAAAATGATGGTTTTCTGCTGCTGTGTAAACCCAGCCTGACCTAGCAGCTGCATTTTCATTAGAATTAATTTTATTGCTACATTGCATACATAATATAGCTGCTGCAGTACTTATCCCAGTTTGATTATCTCAAACCACCCGCCTGTGGTAGTTTAGATAAGTCACTTGAAGTTGAAACCTCACTGAAATTGTCCACATGTAAACTGGTTTATGTGTAAATGGGGCTTGTAACTGAAACTACTTCTACTTTTAGTTAGCTAATTATAACTAACTATATAAATCTTTCTTAAACTATAACTATAACTTACTAAAGATATTTTGAAGTTTTTAATGAACATAACTAAAAGTATTTTTATTGAAGCACAACTAACTAAAACGAACTAAAATCAATATGTAAAGTTCCATAACACAGTATCACTAGCTATAAAAGTCTTTTGTAACTGAAACAACATTAATGTATATCAATATTTATAACAAGCAGCTATTATGATACTATTAATAGTTTGGTGCACTGTTGAACTGATGAAGACTGATGGTTCCTATCAAAAAAGAGTATCATGTGAAGTCAAATTATTTAGAAACAGAATTGGGAGAAAAAGTCACTGAAAGAGATTTGTTCTATGGTAATCATCTTATATGGAAGTGTAAAGGAGCTTGTTATGAAGTTTCAATATGTGGAACACATAGTAAGTATGAAATCCTGCTTTAACCGAATTATGCTTAACAATTGATCCAGTCAAGTTGGCTAAGTTTGCCAAAAATATAGTTTCCCCTTTGTTTAGCAAGATTGCCCAAATGAAAGTAATATTATTGTTATTAATTTAATCATAGGAGAAAAGCCATTAACTGCTAAGAATGTTCCTAGTGAATCTCTTTGAGCTAATTCTGAAACCAGTATAGTGTCAGCAGGTAGTACAATGAAGGAGATATACTGAGCCAACAAATAAAGATACTGAATAAACATTCGACAACAGCAAAAAATCAAGAGAGAGAGAGAGAGAGAGCACGAGAGTGTGTGCTTATATTAGAGAATGATGTTCTAGAATGTTCTGTTCAGGCAAGCCTGT